CAGGAGAGCCTCACCGGGGACAGCCACCAGCCGCCGGGCTTCGTTCGGCGTGGGCGATGGCAAGGGGATGCACCGCGCGCCTCCGGAGCCGCCCGCTCACCGGCCGTGCCCGGGGAGGCAGGGGCTTGCAGGGCTTCACCCACCACGTGGTTCCCTCTCGGGAAGCCTGCGGCGAGGGCGATTCCTCTCTCTCCCGAGGAAGCCTCTCCCACCGCTTCCTCGTCTTTATTCCCGGGAAGTTTCTCCCAGCGCGTGGCCGCGGCTCCGGTTCGGCCTCAAGCTCGCGGGAAGGAGCACGGCTCCTCCAGCGGCAGCAAAGACCGGCAGCGCCCTTTGGCGTCCATCATCCACGCCGGCCTCGTCGCATCTCTGCCTGCATCCTGCCTGGCACGCTGCTGGCGCCAGGGCAGGGGCGGGCAGCTTGCTTGCCTTTTTGGCATTGCCTACATCTGGAGCCGTTGGTAAATTATTAATGATAAGTGGAGAGGATCGACGGGTGACCAGGCTGGTCGGTGCGCGGCACGGTGCATCCGTGGCAATGGGACCGGGGTGGGAGTCCCGGCAGGAGAATTTGTGGTCAAGGACCCACGGGTGACTTTCCCCCTTGCAGCGATAAGGATGTCTGGGTGCTGAGAGGGTCCCAGCCGTCCCTGGCTGCCTACATGCTCCTGTGGACCCCATCCAAAGTCACGGACGGGCATTTATGCGTGGAATTATTTCCCCTTTTCCAGTTTGTGCCCAATTTCAGGGCTGTGCCCGGCCTGCAGAGCCTGACAGCTCCGCAGGAGGTGTCTGTCGCGGAGGGAAAGAGCCTGTCGGGGCGGTGAGTGGCTGGGACGTTGCCGTCCCTTGTCAAACCCGGCGGAGGAGCGTGTGGCCGCACCGGCCGGGCAGGGATGCCGGTGGCTTGGGAGCACGTGGTGGGTTCCCAGGCTTTGCTCCCCTCTTCCTGCAGCCGCAGGCTTGCTCCTCGCCCCCGTTCCCGGCACTGCCGGCTCGGCCTCCGCTCATCCCGTGCTGGCTCCTGTGTTGACACGGGCTGTTTTTTTCCGGAGCTGGAGTGGGACGCTTCGAAAATGCTGCCACGAACTTCTAAAAAGTTACCTAAAAAGAGCTGGAGGCTTCATCGGCAAAGACGTTGCCAGCCCCGACCGTCCCATGCCGCGTCCTAGCCCCGCTCTCAGGCAGGGCCTGCCGATATCTTCTCCTCCCGTTGCCGGTTGCAAAAGGGTTTTCACCAAAAACAACGAAAGTGTGGAAGGGCGCGGGCTGTTGCCCGGTTTCAGTGTGTGTTACTGAAAAACGAGTGAGAAGTTTGGACATTACAAAAAAACCACAATGGCCTGATTTCTGCTCTCTGGCTCCGGGGCAATTCCTCTCGGATCCCTGGGGTTGTATCGGTGGCCAGGGAGCAGAGTTTGGCTCTCGCTAAGTGGTTTATGGGATTTTTATTTTTCATTTAGCCAAAAAATAAGAAGGGGAAAAAAATTCAAAGAAGTATTTGGTGTGGAAAAACAAAAGACATTCAAAACCTCCTCAGCTGGCCAGAAAGGATCCCTTTGAGGGGACAGATGTGTTAAGGGGAACGAGAAACGTCCGGCTGCGGGAGCAGGGCTGAGCCAGGCACCTCGAACGCGGCAGTGGTTTCGGGAAGGGAGCACTGGGGGGTGATGCTCAGCACTGCCCCGGCTCCCGTGGTTTGGTGTGCGCTCCCATGGGGTGTTCAGGGCACAGGAGTTGGGCACCTTGGCTGTCGACAGGGTCTGCCCCGCCTGTCACCCTTTGCGAGTCGTCCTCGAGCTGCCCAGCGAGGCGGACACGGAGGTTTTGTGGTCTGTCGCCCGTCCGACGGCAGCCCTGCCTGCCTGCGCCCGGGTGTCTCGCCGCTTGGGGTGCGAGCGTGCTGGTGGCCACCGTTCGGCACGGGGGGTCCTGCTCAGCCTTCGCCCCGGCGCTGGCCCTCCCTCCCCTCTCCTTCTGGGATGTGTGCCCGGCCCAAGGGGCGAAGCCATGGCACGGTTGCATTTCAGCACTAGCCCAGGTTGGATAAACGTGTCAGCTGCGTGGGTTTCCCCTTGGTTTTCACCCCGTTGTAAAGCGCGGAGATCTTGTCATCTTCAGCTTTCAGTTCGCCGGTCTTTCCTGAGTCTTTTTTTTTTTTATTATTTTTATTTTTTTTAATTCGAGCAACTTGAGGATCGCTCAGAGGAGCAGAGGTGCCAGGAGGCAGCACAGGAAGGAAGGGGACTGTCATGTTCGTCCCCGGAGGATCGGGGGCAGTAGCAGTGCCCACGCGACTGAGAGTGGAGCCGTGATTTGGGAAGAGGCCGCAGGGACCCCTCTCTGTGCCTGCTCCGGAGACCAGCAGTCCCCGGGACGGAGCCACTGGCAGTCAGGCTGCGGCTCCTACCCAGGTCTCCCACCGAAAGAGCCCAAATTAGCTGAATAAATGATCCCTGTGTTCAGCACCAAATGCCAGAGAACCTGTTGCCAAGGCTGGAATTTCTCACTTGATCCGATTAACCTTTGTGTCCGTGCAAATAACCCCATATGTGTCACCAGCCGAACGCATGCCAGAAGCTTTTGCCAGGTCTTCTCGCAACATCTGGCCTGCACGCGATGCACAGTGCCCATTCCCACGTGGAAGGTTCCCCGGGGGCACCTCGGAAAGGACTGTTGGACCCTCATGTCCCAGGTGTTGATGGCACGGCCGGCGATCCAGGCACACGGGAGATGTTCCCCCTCCCTCTGGGCACGAGGACAGGCGGGATGAGTCTGGATGCTCAGGGCATTAACTCCGTTGAGTTAAACGATGCCAGCGTGATCTCGTGGGAGGAACTGGGGGTGACGAGTCAAATCTGTGTTTTAAAAAACCCGTGTGTGTGGGAGAGAAGTGTTGAGCAAAGGTGAAGAAGGCACCAGTTGGCACTTCCCTTAGTCACGCTGCCGGTGCCTGGCTGAGCATCAGCATCACGTCCCGGCCGAGGTTTCAAGGCCGTGGTGGTCCGGGGAATCACGTCCCAAGGGCTTGATGCTCTCGTTTTGGAGGCTTGGAGGACTCCTTTCCCCCGGGGCCGTATGCAGCACCTCCCGACGCAGCCCCCATCCTCAGACGTGTCTTTGCTTGTGCTGTCGGGAGGGGAGGAGGGTACTGGAAACCAGCCGGGGGCAGAGCCAGCCGCGCCGTGGGCTTCGTCCTGGCACCGCCGAAGTGGAGGGGTGTCCTGCTGCCCGCCTCCGTTGGGAGCAAGATTGGGCCTTCTGCGATAATTCCTGGTGTTCATTATTTCTAGAGAAGCCAAATTGAATTATTAATATGAAAATTCAGATAACGTTAACAATTCTCAGTTTATAACAGTTTCCCATTAATAAGGAAAATTGGAAATTTATCACTACATCTGTTCGTTATTTAAAACCCCCCTTTTTTTTTTTTTTTTTGGTGTCTTAAATGAAAGCAGTGAAATAAACGAAGAGGGAAAGCCATTTATTTGCTACTTCTCTGGGCAAAGTCAGCCCATAATTTTTAATAAAGTCTTTGCCGTTATATGTGGAGGGGAAACCAGCTTATAATGAACGCAGCTTTTCAGCCATGTCTGTGGCATTGCTCGACCGTAGAACGAATACTCGGAAACACGTCCCGTTTCTTCTCTTTGTGGGAACCTTTAAGCTGCATGATAGTTTTCTAATTTCCTTCCCTCCCCAGCAGCTCTCCTTGCTTTCAGCATGTGTTGCTCCCGGCTCCAAGGAGTGAATTTTAACGCCTCCCCTGCTTCTTTCAGAGATGGCGGATTCCTATGCCTGTAAAGGTGGAAGGAAAACTGCAGGCTCTAACAAACCCGCTGCCAGCAAAGAAAGCAGGACGGAGACGAGGATAAACCCGCCGGCAGAGCTGCCCAAGCTTGGTAAGGAACTGGGTTTTTCTTTCCGTGGAGGTGGATGGGGTGGAGGGGACGAGCTCAGGGGTTGGGGGGGCGGCTGCCACAACGAGGGGGTGCAAGTGCATCGGGCCTCAGCGTGCCTCTGCTCCTCGCTTCGACCTACCGGCGAGGGCTGTGCTGGGCCAAAAAAGCCCCAGACCCTCGGAGCTGCAGAGAGCCGGTCCCTGGGAACAGGAGGGGAGGGATGGAGACGGCCTCTCCCTTTCGAGAGGCGTGCGTCTGGCTTAACGAGGTGGGTGTCTCGCCGCCTATTTATTGTGTTGGTAGCTAAGTGTTACATCAAAGGATGGAAAGGCTTAAATGAGTTCAGACCATCTGCTGTCTCCTGTGTCACGGCCTCCGGGATGGAGGCTTGCGAGTGGACGAGCCCCGGGGGACCTGCTTCCTAGGGGCTGTCACTCTGACGGATAGCTGATTTCTCTATCCAGGAATCTCCAGGCCCAAGGAGATTTTTCTCCTGTCTGCTTATGCTGGGCAGATCCCCTCTGCGGGTGCGGAGAGGCGCTCACTGCCTTTATCTTGCTGACGGCAGCCCTGGATGCCGCGGGGCGCCTGCACCCAGGGCGAGGGTCGGACCCCAGAGATGTATCTCAGACCAGGCACCCAAAATCGGTGGCCTCACGGGGAAACGCCTGTGCCCTAAATGTTTCCCAAATGCCGCTCTTCCCTTGAGGGGGTTGAAGCTGTAATCGCTAACAGAGGGGTATAACTTATTGCTAAGGGGAATGAACTCCAGCTGTCCACAGTATGAACATACCTGCATTCGGGAGAGCGTTTTTCCCTGCGCCACATCTTATCAGCACCTTTAAAAGTAGAAAAGCCCCTTTTTTTAGCCCTTCCTTCTGGTTTAGATGGACTGAAAGCGATGAGGCACAGTGAAGGGTACTCCGTGATGAAGAAAGATACCGCATTGCTCTCCCTGGGAAAGTGCTGGAGGTGGAAACGTCTGCCAGGGTTCACTTTGTTGGGGCGGATTAGGCTTGATGCGGACTGGGGAGACAGAGGCCTTTCCTGCAGTCGCTTTGCTGGCCCCCTCAGATGCAGCAGCTTGGTTGGCGCAGGGAGCATCCTTTCCAAGCCAGGTCTTGGTCCAGAGAAGCCTCGAGTCCATCGGCAGGCCATCCCCGGTCCCGTTTCTAAAGAGCACGACGTTTCCACCCGGCTGAGTCAGCCCAAAACTGCGGTAACCTGCTGCAGGGGCACGCAGCCACAGTGCCGGCCATAACACCGAGCGCCGTCGGGTTCGTGGCTCCTGCAAGTGCCTGTGAAGTCCAGGGTTTAGCAGAGCCGGCGGGTGGTGGCCAGGAGTGGGATGTTGGAAGAGGAGACGTGATTTCTGCTCCTCCTGTCCCTGTCATCGCTGTCCCCAGCCGGCAGCTGGTCAACGAGGGCATTGAGGGATGGCTGGGCTGGGCGCTCTTGTGCACTGGTTTGGCACGAAATGTCCCCGAAAGTTTTGAAACTTGTGCAAGTTGTGAAAAGGAGAGGAGAGCTGTCACTGAGCATCTGCACGAGCCGCAGCCCCGGACGTGCTGGGCTCCCAGGGAGAGCTGTCCGGAGGGACAGGGACCTGCTGCCGTGGGATATTTCAAATTTGGAATATTTTGAAGAGTTTATGAGAGAAAACAGAAAACAGGGAGAACAATAAGCAGGTAACTGCAGTGTTGTGAGCCTTTGCTTCAAATCCTGTATAATTTGGTGGTTTTTCATAAACTGCCAGCTCATGGAGTCCCATGATGTGCAAGAAACATAGCTCCGTTTCACGTGCAGGGTGAGGTCCTCGCTTACACCAGTGTGGAGGAAAAGCCTGAGCACGTGGTCTAAGAGCAGTGGAGAAAATACAAAATGCAGAGGGCAGCTGCGATGCACAAACGTCCTTCATGGGCGCTACGGGAGTTTTGAATGAACCCTGCACAGTTGCTTCAGAACTAGCACGGTTTGGGGCCAGGCTTGCAAAATCCTCCCCTCTCCTTAGGACCACGAGCCGTTTCGGGGCAGGAGCCAGGCAGGTGGGTGTCCAAACCGAACGGGGTGTTTTGGGGACAGCTTAGAGGCTGCCTTGGGGGGGGGCAGGTAATTGGCTTTTTAGGGACTTTCTCTTATAGTCCATAAAGGTCACCACCTCCTGCAGACGAGGCCTTCTGGGCTAGAGGGATTTCCAAAGGACGCTACATCACCAAGGGACGCTTTTACGGGTATCAAAGTGGAGCAAACCAGCTGGCGTGACTTCAGGGGACTGGAAATAAATGAGCCAACTGTCTTGTTCGCTATTTTACCCCTGGCTGCTGGGGCAGAAGGCATGAAAAGGGAGAGAGTGTGTGGTTTTGGCAGTGCCTTTGTAGGTAACTGGTTGGCTTTCTGTTTGATTTCCATCCCTTGTTCCAAAAAAATCCTGGATTGGCTTCTGAGTACAGCCAGTGCCAGGCTTGGAGCTGAGCTCTGGTTTCTCAGGAGCTGGAGGGATTGCCAGCTCGGCTTCCAGCCTCTTCTTCTTACCTGATTTTCACCAGAGAAGAGTGTTTTACAGGTTGAGTTTAGATTTTTAATCTCAGCTATCCTCTCCTAGCTGTTTTGGGGTTTCCTTCTCAGGGATGCTTTTTGGCTTGTTCCTGTTCTTGTAGCAGGAGGCTTTTATTCCCAGTCCTGCTCATTAAGCCCTCCCAGATCTCAGGCTCAGCTTTCTGTACATGGCATTTCCCGTTGGCCGCTCACATCTGTCCAGTTTGTCTTTGGGTTACACCGACTCCCAGCATCACTTAAGATTACGGGTTAGCCCTCAAAATGCAGCTTAAGGCCTGCCGGGAGCGCAGAGCCATGGGGGGACGGCGCTGGGCGAAGGGAGCGGGGTCTTGCCAAGGCTCCCCAGACCTGTGGGGTGACCAGGGTGCTCTGTTCCTGCTTGGAGAGATGGGAGGTTGGATGTGAAAGTGGATTGATTTGGTGAACTGCCCTCAGCCCCTGCACACAAACCCCGGTGAAAGTTGTCGTGGTGTTTGTACCGCTTTGCTCAACCCATTTTGGGTGTGAAGTAGGTGAAATCGGGGGGTTTGCTGCTGTTGTGAGCCGAAGTGTCTGGTCTGGGGCTTGGCAGTTTAACGTGCTTGTATTTGGCGTGCCCTGTCACGCGACATCGGAGACTTCGTAGTCTCCCCTGATTGCAGTGTCTGGTTGAACCGGGCACATTTCTGCCCCGCTGGCATTCAGCTCGTGCTCAGGATGCCCCAAGAGCCTGCTCTGAGCACACGCAGAGCCGTGGCCCCTCACAAAGATGTCCCCACGGCTTTTCCTCCCCACCCGAGTCCCCCAAGCACTGCCTTGCCCTGTCCTCGCCCCCCCCAGCCATCCCCATCCCTGCTGCTCCCCATGTGCTCATCACATCCCCTGGGCCAGCGTCCTCCTGCAGCCCTGGGGCTGCTCAGCCACGCTGGCCATGCAAAGGGGATGAGGGATTTCTGTGCTCGACAGCCTGCCCAGGGCCCAGCGTGCTGACCTAGACGCAGATTTCTTTTGCTAAGTAGCGTAGCTGTTGAAGGATTTCTTCCAACCCAAATGGAAGGACAGTTTTCCGAAGCGAGCCCCAGCTGTGCTGAAACTGCTCTGTGTAAATGAAAGGAGAGGGGTCAGCAAACACCAGGAGAAGCAGCTGTCTCCTGTGCAGGTATCTGCAGGTGTAGGGGCTGTGCACTGAATTGCAGGGGAGGTGGCATTGCCTTCCAAAGGGGAATCGCTGTCCTTGCCAGGGCGGGGACACGGCAGCCCAGAGCTGAGGCAGACCCCGTGCAGAGCGAGGGAGCCGGCCGGGCGGTGGGAGGCTGGGGCTGGGCAGCAGGATTGCCGGGACGGCAGCTCCTCCGGCACGGCTGGCTGGACGGCGGGTGACGTGCGCTGCATCTGTTTGCAGGAAATGCAACCAGTGACAAAACTGAAGGCAGGAAGAAAGGACGACCCAAGGCTGAGAACCAGGCGCTGAAAGACATCCCCGTAAGACCCCGCGCGCTCTGATCCCCGATGCCCTCCCTGCCTCGCTCCCTCTGACTTGCCCTCCGCGTCTTGTTGCACCGCGTGCTTCGGCCAGCCCCGCTCCGGGGTTAAACCTGCCTTCCCGGTGGTTTAATCTTCAGAGCAGCCTTGTCTTGGACTCGGCAAGATCTTGGCCCCTGAATACCCTCCATGCTAGCGCCCAGCATCCTCCAAAACCCTGGTGGGGAACAGTACCCCCCCCCCAGCCTCCCCTTCCTAGGGCCATTCCCAGGTGAGCTGGATTCTCTCACAGCCACATCAGGTTTGGCTAATGACCCGGCAGCACCGGCAAAGGGGTGATTTATTCCCCGCAGAGTTGTGCAGTTTAATTCCAGCACGGTAGCATGGACAACACACAGAGCAGTTTGTCATGAAAGCATGGGCATGGGGTGATTTACTGACTAGATAAAATGTGGAGTGGTTAAATCACTCGGGCGACTTCTGGCCTGATTGATTCCCCAGCCTGGCCGGGAGCGTGCGTGCACTCTGGGAGGCACAGCAAGGTAAATTCTCGGGAGGAACCATTAGCCTGTAGAGCCTGCGGCTCCGTCCCAGCACCCCTCGCTGGAAGGTGCACCGCTGCACTGAAGCACAGCCCTGGGGTCTACTTTGCAGCTGCGTGGTGGGAAGGGGTGGACAGGAACGATTGGAGGTCCCATGTGCCCCCCCAGGATGCACCGGCACGCACCCAGGCACGCAATGATCTTTGCTCAGCTATGTCTCTTGTCTCTCCGGTTCCCAGCTCCCCCTGATGAACCAGTGGAAGGACGAATTCAAAGCTCACTCCAGGGTGAAATGTCCCAATTCAGGCTGCTGGCTGGAGTTCCCCAGCATTTATGGCTTGAAGTACCACTATCAGCGCTGCCAAGGGGTAAGGAGACCGGAGGGCTGTGTGTCCTTTCCAGTGGCCAGCTCTTACACTACCATCTACAGGGTAAAGCCCCTCTCAGGTCTTAAACCCCAGGGAAAACGTGAGATTGAAATGGGGAGGGCACAGATGGGCCAGGGACAGTTTGTGAGGTGTGTACGAGAGGGACTGGGGTCCCTCCGGCTCAGTGTGAGGTCTGGCCTGGGGGGATCATGGACCATTGGTAACCATTTGGAGGGGCAGAAGGGTATTGCACACAACGTGTGTTTGCATCAGAAAAAGCCTGTCCCTTTTGTGGTCTAACGTCCGTGCCCTCCTGTCTCTCCCTGCTCCGCACAGGGTGCGATCTCGGAGAAGCTGACCTATTCGTGCTCGTACTGCGAAGCTGCCTTCACCTCCAAAACCCAGCTAGAAAAGCATCGGCTCTGGAATCACTTGGACCGGCCAGTGCCAACCAGCAAAGCAGAAAACAAAGTGCCGAAGGCCATTGGGAAGAGCGGTGGCAAGAAAAGGTACCAGGCTGTGGCTGGGCTGTGTGGTGGTGGTGGTGGTGGTGTAGGGACGGCTGGGAGAAGGGGAACATGCCCGCCTCCATTCCCATCATCTGGGCTGGCGAGGGGGGAGAGGTGTCAGGACGTTTGTCTAACAACCCCTCTTTAAACAAGCCCTCTGTGCTTTGCCCTAGAGCTGCTGAGAGTTCAGCTTGCCCCACCATCCATCCCAAACAGGCAAAGACGGAAAAAGCCGTGGCCCAGGACCACGCCGAGAATGGCGAGTGCCTGGCGGAGAGCCGGGAGAGCAAGGAGTTTCAGATCGCAGCAGCCGAGGCGATGGCAGCCGCCACCCCCACGGCGAAGTCCTCGAGCGGCAAGGATGCCGTGCAGCAGGGGGGCAGCCAGGCCTCACTGCAGGAGGAAGACCCCGAGAGGATGAAGCACAGTAAGATTAGAGCCCGGGGCTGTGCTGCTTCAGGAGCCCAGAGAGGGGTGTCCCACGGGAAGGGACGGGGCTCTGTTCCAGCCAACGCTGCTGCGGGTGTCTCTCTGAATGTATCCAAGCCTTTTTTCAACATCCCGATAATTTGCCCCCCCCGGTTTCTTGCAACAGTGAGTTCCACTGAGAGTTAAAACCAGGTTGCAGCTGTGGTAGAGGTATTTCTATAGGACCTACAGGTTTGGAAATGGATTGAATACCCTGCAGCATAGCAAGCTCCTGTATCAGCCCATCTGTCCTCACCGGGCGTGACAGTTTAAACCAGGGTGGATCTGGCAAATGTGTTTTCCTTAAGTATTGGGACAGGGTAAGGAGGCTTACTCTGTCCGTTACCGCTGTGGGGCTGGCAGGCAGGGCCATGGTTGTCCCCATCATGGCATGGGTTTACACTGCTTGCAGCACCACAGTGAACCACCACCAGCCACCTTAGCTGCTGAGGCTGTGGAAACCACGTGGCTTTTGGCACTAGGCAGAGCCACCGCTTCCATTCCTTGAATTAGCCCTGGATACCATTATTTCTCCTGATTTTGTGGGGTGGGAAGCAGCATCCTGTTACTGTTTGGTGGGTGGGTGCTTCATTCAACAGCCCCTGTATTTCACAGGGGTAAAGGCCTCCTCAAGGTGATCCGCTCCTGACATGGAGTATGTGCCCACCCCGCGCCCTGGGACTGCTGAAGGCCCCCTGGCAGTACAGTTATTTGACCAAATCTCTCTCTCTGTTTCTCTCTTTTGAGTCAGGAAGGAAACAGAAAACTCCTAAGAAATTTACGGGGGAGCAGCCGTCCATCTCGGGGACATTTGGACTGAAAGGTAATACGGGGACGACTCTGGTCAGCTGTAGGGTTGTAGCTTCCCCAGGAGCCCTCCCTGTGGTGGAGATACGTGGGAGCCACCTGGAGCCTGGGGACATCACACTGGAGGAGCTGGTGCCTTTGACCGTAAGAGCATTGGAAAGGGAATGAAAGGCAGCAGCAGAGCTGGCACTGATAACAACCCTGCCTGCTCTGCTCGGGAGCCTGTCGCTGGGAAGTGAGGGAGGAGGAGAAAGGATCCGGGTATGTCCAGCCGTAATGCAAGAGTAAGGAGCTGCTGACACAAGCGAGACATGGGAAACATCATCTCATCGTCCTCATCCCACCGTCCTGGGATGTCACAGTATTTCCAATAGCGTCGAAAGGATTTCTGCTGCGTAGAAAGGCTGGGTGACGCATCCGTCCCTCAGACGTTGTCTCCAATGCTGGTCGCCCACGTTCAAGAAAATTAATTCAAGGGGGAAGAGATGTGTTACCGGGATGTTTTCTGAGAGGAGGCTCAGGAGCTGGCTGCTTCAACCTGACAAAGCAAGAGCGAGTGGGACTGTGGTCATGCTCCATAAATACACCCAACTGGGCTGGAAAGGAGGGAGGAAACCTGGAGCATCCCTGGCACGAGAGCAACTGGATTCGGACTGGCTATGAAATACATTCAATCAGGGAAATAAAAAGCAGATTTCCAGGCACTGCAGGAGGCAGCACCTTCCAGTATGAGAGGCACTCGGGGGAGAGGCACTAATGGCTTTGAAGGAATTAAACACTTACCGAAGAGCAGGCTGGATGCGGTCTCTGCGATTTCCTTTCCCCTGGCTCCTGGGAAGTCTGGGGTTGTTTCCCTTAACTTCCGCGCAGAGGCACTGCCATAGACTGAAACATCTGCTGTGGGTTCCTCGAGAGTAAGCTGGTCCCCCCCCAGTGACCCGCTGCCTCAAATGGAGAGTGAAGATCGGGCGGGCGTTTGCCTACATCCCCCGGGTTCAATGTGGCAGCTCGCTCCCCAAAGACAAGGGGGCCACCAGCCCGTCGTGGGGTGCTGTCTCCGTTCAGACCCTGGGTTTGCAAGAGTCACAACCCACAAGTCCAGGGGGATGTGGACCCTCGTGGGTCAGGTGCGGATCTGACCCTGGCACTCACCGTGTTGCCTCCAGCATTTTCTGTGGAAGCACAGGCACAGGGTTGAACTGCACATGGATTTGGGGGGGTGGACCCAGGGGAGAGCCCCCCTCCTCTCTTCGCCAGCCTTTCCAAAGCGTCGTTTACAAGTCACGTTTTCCATTTCTTATGTCAGCCCAGGAACTGCCGAGGGATTCTGCACGACAGAGGGGGATCGGGCGGCACTGCCGCTGCTGGCACGCTCTCAGCGTGTGCTGACCCTCCTCCTGCTCGCTTGGCCCTGCTCAGTGCAGGGAGGATGCTTCGGTGGTTGGCAGTGATGCCTTTAGCAGGCTGAATGGGAAGCACACACTTTGCCCATGCAGTCATGTGGGGATGAGGCACAGACAAGGTGGGAGGGTGGATGCGTTCGGGAGAAGCTGGCTGAGAGCCTGGCGCTCTGCCGGCACGGAGAGCCCTGCCTTCAAGTTCCTCTCTGCTTTGCCGGCAGGCTTGGTGACAGTCGCCAGCAACCCAGGGTAGCTGCGCCGGGTTTCCTCTTCCCCGTGCGCCGGTCGCCCGGTCACCCCTCCTCTCCTTCTGTTCCTTCCTGACCCTTCCCAGCACCCGGAGGGACCTGTGTTCGTCGTGACAATTGCATACAGATCCAGGGACGAAAGGTCCTGCGGGATCTGGTGTCTGGGATCCCAAAGTTTGCCCAGTTTTCTAAGAGGGACCCCAGTTCCTTGGCGTAAGCAGTTAGACAGCCTTCCAGTGCAGGAGCATCAGCAGGAACCTCACTTTTATATCCTGAATTGGCTGTTCCAATTCCCCCTTTCGGTTTCTTGCAGAATGCCCTTTTGCCTCCTCCCCAGCCTGTCTTCCCCACAGTCTGCTTTGCTAGAAGCATCCTACCCCGCTTTGCCATGGTGCTTCCATAGTTCATAAACTGGGTTGGGGGAAATGATTCTGTTTATAAAACACCACAAGCTGTTACGATATTGCTTGTCGTAGTTATGGACCTGATCCTACACATAGAACCTTGGCAGACCTACAGCCAGCTCAGCGTCCCTGGGTTAGAGGTAGAAATTTTTTACCTGCTAAATGTGAGTTGGTCTGAGAGTATTAAAGCAAGTACTGAATAAAAATCCTCTCTCTTCACAGGTCTCGTCAAAGCAGAGGACAAGGCGAAAGCCCATCGAGCCAAGAAGTTGGAGGCGAGCACCAACACGGAGGAGCTGAAAAAGAAACCTTCAGGAGCTGGTGTGAAGAAGGAAACGGCTGTGCATCTACCAGCAGGTGAGGCTGGTGGAAGCAAAGCACAGGCAGCAGCTCTGTGTGCAGCTTAGCTGCTTATCCTGTGCTCTGCTCCAAGCCTGCACGGTCCCCACCTTCACGCCACGGTCCCCACCTTCACCCGCAGCTAGTGGTCCCCGCACCCCTCCTGGCCCAGCGGGCTGTTTGCTGGGTGAGTTTTCTAGCAGGTCTGCGAGCAGAAGCAGCACAAAATCAGAAGCAGGAGCACGCAGCTGCTGCCCTTCTGAGGTGTAGCAGAGATGTGGGGACAGCCGCTGCTCCTAAAATATTGGTGCAGCCACAGCTGACATCCCAAAAGGGTTACTCTACCTTCGCTTCACTGCCAGGACAGACCACTGCAAGTGTTGGGAGATGATAGCCAAATCCTGGTTCCACCTGGCTTCACTGTGACCACAATTTGGGTCAGCGTCTGGGGTGATGGAATTTTTCTATCGTCATATCCGTGTATGATGCCAGTGCCTAACTCCGGGCATAATTATGTCTTTTCCGAGGTGCAGCCTACACCCTAGCACAGGTTGCTGACTTTCCCTGGGAGCTCTGACAGCAGGAGGAATGCAGGATGTGCAAGATAAACACAGCTGCAATGTCTTACATGGCTTTCAAATTCAAATAAACGACTCTCTGATCTCACAGCCGTGCAAAAGCATCCAAATAAACAGACTTGGCGGATTTTATTCAGACCGGGCTTCCCTTGCTGGAAGCCCAGTGCTGTTCTGCTGAGAACGCGGCGGGAACTCTGGACCTGGGAGCAGGTTTTGGCCCCACGTATCTCGTATTTGGGGTGTTTTTTAAGCTGGTCACAGCCATTCAAATAAACACATGCCTGAAAGCTAGCACTCCCTAGCTGCCTGTGTGTCTGCCGGGAAGAGGAGTGCCAGGGAAGCTTTCCAGGCACACGTCCGGATGGAGCCGAGATGCTCACCTTTGTTTCACTCCCGCTAATTGTTTCGTTTGGCAGGGGGGAGTTATTCCACGCAGGGCAAGATGAGGTGGCCGGGGGTATCACCGTGTTTTAACTCCCAGTGTGCGGGATACCAGCGGGGTTGGAAAGGTGAACCTCCTTTTCTCCATGAAATGCCAGCAGGTCAGGTAACTCCACGTAGAGCGGCCCAGTGACCCAATTTGCTCAGGCAGCTGCAGGAGGTGTGGGGCAGGCAGAGCTGCAAGTGCCTGCATGGTTTGTGCTGGGCTTGGCCCATGCCTGGGAGAGTATTTCTCTTTTTTTAACATTGGGAACTTTTCCCAGTTCAGCGCTTTTCGACAGAGCAAACCAAGGCTTACAACAGTGCTGTCCTCTGCCGAGCAGCCCAGGCAGCTTGTGGTCTCCGCGGCTGGGTGTAACACCTCTCTCCTCTCCCTCACCAGCAAACCCTGAGGACCAGTGGCAGCGGGAGATCAGCGAGAAGGGAGAAGTCGCCTGTCCAACCTGCAGCGTTATAACCAGGAAAACTATTGTGGGGCTCAAAAAGCACATGGATGTCTGCCAGAAAGTAAGGACTTGCTTTATTCAGTCACGCACGTGTGGATTTTGGAGGGGAATGGACGTGTACGTGTGCCACTCATAAATGCGTATTGGTGTTCCTAAAACCAGTTCTGGGCTGTGTTTGATAGAGCACTTGCTAGTCATCTTCAGAGAGCTGGCTGCCTCGCATCGATTCAGAGGGGTTTGGACACCTAATTCTCAGCGATTCTGAATCCCTTTGTGGTCTGGGCCCCTTGCCCCAGTGTCTCCAGCAGAGTCGGGTATTTCTAGGAGCTAAACAAATAGTTTTAAGGCTGGAGAGATCGTTGGGGTTGTCTCTAATCTGGCCTCCTCCGGAGTCCTGGCTGTGGGATTTCGCTGTGTGCCATGCCTTGCATCAGGCCAGATAAATTGTGGTTGAATGAGAGCACGTCTCGGGGAGACACTGAGCTTGGATGTGCTCAGGCAGGCTGTCAAGGCGCAGCAGTTCAGTAACGGCGCAGTGAAAAATTGTCTCTCTGCCACACGGCCATCCATCAGAGCACAGGATTATGTCTTCATCCGTCACCTGGCGCGGTGCAGAGCCGTCGCCACAGAAAGCCAAACGTGGGATCGATGCCTTGCGCTTTGAAAATATGTGGCTCAGCTTTGGTTCCACATTCATTTTCTGTAAATGCCTCCTCAGCCTTTGCCTCACTATTTATGCAGCAATGGGAGGCTACTCTCCTTTTCAAACCCTGTACTACATCAATGCCGGGCAGAATCTTGCCTCCTCGGACATCCTCCTGGCTTCAGTGGAGTGGGGATGTTGGCCATCGCTGCTCATATCTCCTGCGCTTTGGGGCATCTCCCAAGCCAGGAAGGCTTCGTGCGGGCTGCACGGCCAGCCAGCGTGCTGAACGTGACTGTGCCAGAGCAGTCAGGCCTGTCTTCCCCACTACAAATAGGCCAGTGGGTGTTCAGCCGAGGAATCGAGGCTCTAGCCCAAGGAGCGGGTGTTTGTCACCCTTCCCTGGGAGGCACGGTCCTTACTGGGGCTGGCTGTGCCGCTCCGGGAGCTGGGGTGCTCTGCAGCGTCCCTGCCAGAGCAGCCTGTGGCCCAGGGAGGACAGTCCCCAAGCTCTGTGTGTGTGACCACAGGTCCAGCTCTCAGCATTTCATCTCTGAGGTGAACCTATGGCACGTCCTTAGCGAGGCCCCGTTGCTACAGGCATGTGGTATCCCCATCAGAAGTGACCCTGGAGTGCAGGCACCATCTCAGCTTGCTCTCTGCTTTAATGATTGAAGTATTTCTTAGCTGGACAATGGGAAAAGGGTATGCAGGCTCCCAAAACTCTTGTAAAACAACGGAAGTTGGTTCCTCCATTCCTTGCTTGTCACTAAGCAGTCTGCCCTGTTTCCTTCGGTTTTAGAAAGGAGGTAAGGGATGGGGATGGTTGCAACATGCTTGGGCCCAAAGGAGATGAGGTGAGAGGGCTTGTTAGAATATGGACATGGCATGTTCTTCGGAGTTGACCGGAGGAGTAACCCCCAAATTGGCTGACATTGGCATTTGATGAGTCAAGGAGCTTTTAGCACCTGCCTTGTTAGGATCAGCGCTTGGGTCTGGAACAAGATTAACCTGGGAGCGCAGGTACAAGCGAGTCATTCCCAACTGGCTGCAGTGAGTTTATTCTTCATTTCCCCAGAGCTCCAGGATGAGGAGGGATTTGCAGCTCCATCTTCATCCCCTCTCCTGCTTCTAGTCCAGGCTTGATTGGAGGGGAACTGGTGAAGGTGGAGCATCAGCCAGGCAGGGGGAGCAGGAACGGCCACGGCCATCCAGGCACCGGCTCCCTGTCGAGACATCCTGTCTCTTGGTGCCCAGAACGTTCGCCTCCTGAGTCAACAAATTCTGGTACCTGCCCCAGCAAAAGTCACGATCTGCTTACTCACTTTGCAGGTTCCCCCTGTACATTGGTGGGTGCATTTAATGCATCTCCCCAGTCACTCAGGAGGCCAAGTCGGGTCAAACGGCAGAGCAGTATGAGGCGGGAAGTATTCTGCTGTGATCGTGTCCAGCGGCGTCTTAATTTCAAACAGCCCAGGCACCCAGAAAGCGTATCGTACGCCAGCATCTGTCGTAGTTAATAGGGCTGCAGAGCACAGTCCACTAACATATTGGTAGATCAAAGCGTCTTCTCTTTCCTAACCCTTTAACAGGAAGACTAAGACACCAGTTCCAGATGTTTCCAGCCAGTGGGGCTTTAAATCTACATCCAAAATGGAACGTTTTCCAAAAATTGGGGCATGTGGGTTTGATAACAGTATCCAGGACAACAGAGAGAAGACTCTGAGCTGCAGGCTGGGATTGGGATGGGGGACAGGGACGCTGCCTTGCCTGCTGGGTCCCACCACTGGGTACAGCTGCAGCAACAGCTACCCATGGGGCTTATTGACGAGCAGCCGCAGCCCTTGGAAGAATGAATGGTGGACTGTGGCCTCCACAGTGACTTGCCTTTAATTCTTTCAGCTGCAGGATGCCTTGAAGTGTCAGCATTGCAAAAAGCAGTTCAAGTCCAAAGCTGGGCTGAATTACCACACCATGGCTGAACACGTCAGCAAGGTAAGAGAGCTGGGCTGCTTCCATCTCGCGCCTTGTTTCTCCATGCAGATGCAGAAGACGAAGCAATCGGCAGTCCGCTTTCCTTTGTCTTTGTAAAGGAGGGATTCACAACACCATCTTTGCAGCATTTCACAAACTGCTCAGTCCAGACGGTGGCCTTTCCCCTTCCCTGCTGAGCAAAGCCATTCCTTCCCTGGCAGCTAGTTAGGCTCACGTTGATCCCGGGCAGTAGAGCAGAGGACTGGAAAAATAAAACAGGATTTCAGGGGAAGATTCAGTGAGTACGGTGAGGCGGATTTTGAGTGGCAAAGCTCGGCCTCCAAAACTGTGCCCGCAAATCTGGGACTGATGGGTTCTGCCTTGCACGAAGCTCAAAATCCAGTCTTTAGCTCTCCACTGTGCATGTGAGAAGTAGCCACAAAATTTACCATGAATAAAATCTGGCAGGCACCAATTTAGGTGCTGTTCTTAAAAATCTGGTCGTGTATGTCTCCGAGACACCAGAGCAAGGCATAACTGCATTTCTGCATGTCCCGTGCTTACCAGTTGTGACTTGTCTTTTACATGTGCATTAATCTCCTGCTCTTCAGTCTGGCTGGTGAATCCTCCGTGCAGGAACTGCTCCTGGGTTTCTCAGCTGGCCCTTTGGGTGCAAACACGGGAAAGGCATGAGCAGATCTGGCACCTAATGATGAAGGCGTTGGCATGCGGTAAAGCAGTGGGAGATCCAGCTCTTCTAACGAGAGGTTCCCACCAGCCAAGGGCAGCTCTTGCGAGGCAGAGGTTTACCACCCACTCCTGGCACAGAGGACATGAGTAAATGGTTGACTCTGTCGCTTCTGTTACTTCCTTGTTTCCAGCCTGTTCCTGTGGAAACCGCTGGACTTGGTGAACAGGAAGAGCGGGAAAGGCTGAGGAAAGTGCTAAAGCAGATGGGAAAACTGAAATGCCCCAATGAGGTACGAGAACGATTCCTGTTTCTCATTCTGTGAAAAGGTGGAAGGAGTGAGTTCCGATGCAGAGGGGGACGTGCACTCTCCAGGCATCCCCTGGCACGCGCTCGACTTTTCCGCCTTAGCTCAGCCATCCCGGTCGCCGTCCCGCTGGCTCCGTGCGCTCCGGCGATGGGCCGTCCCGGCAGGAGGGTGGGCGTAGGGCAGGTTGAGGAGCGCTGAAGGGCAGGTTCTGCCTCCTGAACTCAGGAAGGGGCACAGCCGGCGCTGTCCTGGGCACAGCGTAAAACTAAACCGAACTGCACCAAAAAATGGTCGCGAGCCGGTTGCAGACAAGTCACGAACAGGTAACGGGGGTGTGCGGCAGAGGTTTGTCCCCGCGGATGCAGTGCCTCCCCAACGCCTTCCCCTCCCGCTGCCCACCGTGCATCTGTCTGGAGAGCCCTGTCGGTGTGTCAGGGCAGGTAGCGCCGGGGACAGGGACTGCTCCCCGCGTCCCTCCGTGGCACTGTCGTGCCTGTGCATGGCTCTTTGGGGACAGGGGCTGGCCAGCGATCCCCCAGCACTCGGAGGGGACGGGTTGGCGGAGCTGCTCTGCGGAGGGGGCTCCCTGGGACATGTTCCTCCCTGGAGCAACGGCACCCCGACCGTTTTGACATGGGCACGTGAAGCCCCAGCCCTCCTTAACCTTCCCCTTCTCCCCATCTCCGTAGGGCTGCATGGCCAACTTCTCTAGCCTGATGGGTTACCAGTACCACCAGAAGCGCTGTGGGAAGCAGCTTGCCGAGGCCGACAAGCCTGTCTTCAGCTGTCCACACTGCGGCAAGAAGTACAAATCCAAGGCCGGCCATGACTACCATGTGCGGTCAGAACACACGGCCTCGGTGAGCCCCCCGGACGCCTCCGCAGCCCGAGGAGCGGGGCCATCCCCCCCTGGGGGTGACTGCAGAGCTGCAGAGCCTGTGGGCAGGACAGAGCCGGGCAGGGCCGGGCCGGGCAAGGCAGGTGCAGACGTCGGACCGATGTTGTTTTCTCCCTCACGTCACCACGCGCGTGTGTTGTACCATGCAGTGTCGGTGGGGAAGGGGCTACGGCCCCCTCCGCCCCTCCGAAAAAACAGGATGCTGCATTTATGGGAGCGGAGCGGTCAGGAGCGTTCCCCTTCCCTGGTGCCCGCGGGGCTGTGCTCCAGCGCACCCTGCATCCATGCTCTGCAGGGAAAAAAACCAGAGCTCGGGCCGCTCCCTCGGCAGCAAGCAAGTGCCGGCTGCTTGCCAGCGCTGGGGTGGCAGGATCCGTCCCTGGGGAGCATCCTTTTCTGTTCTGTTGATCCCTACTGACAGTGCATCCGACGCTAATAACTCCCTAACTCTAATAAATGGAGACGTTTATACACGTGGGAGTGCGAAAGGACGCGATCAGTCTAATGCATGGCTGTCTGCTGGGCTGAGGGAGGGAGGGGTGCTCCCCTTGTTCCCGTGCTCGGGTGCAGAGGCACGCTGGGGTCTCTGCAGCCCCCGCCCGCACAAAGCAGGTCTGCAAATGCACAGCCCGAACCCCAGCATCCCCGTCCCGGAGCCGGAGAGCTCGCCTCTTCTCCCCTCGTCATGCCCTTCCTGACTCTGTCTCTGTTGCAGCCTCCGGAGGAGCCAGAGGTGAAGCCGGAGCCTGGCCCCATAGAAGATTTCGAAAGGACCCCGAGCGGCCGCATCCGTCGGACGTCAGCCCAAGTAGCCGTCTTCCACCTTCAGGAGATAGCGGAGGATGAGCTCGCCAAGGATTGGACCAAGCGGAGGATGAAGGATGACCTGGTGCCTGAAACGAAGCGGGTGAGAAGCCTTTATTTCTCTTTTTTTTTTGCACTAGCTGTACGCGGAGATCCTGGGGTGCCAGCGTGGCCCCAGCTGGCTGAGGGTGCACGTGCCTCATTTTCTGTGCCTTAAATGAATTAGCTGTGATGGCAAATTTATTGCTAAAGAGCCCACCCAGCACAGGCTGAGCCCCAGTGGTCTGGAGGCTCCGTACAAGCCTGGCAGCAGGCAGCCTTGCCCTTTCCACTGCCAGGGCCCAAATCTAACTGGAGCAAAAGGTGGCGCTTTGTGGGCAGTGGAGAGATCAGAGTTCCAGCCCAGAGGATGTTGTGGAGGTAGGTCAGTTCTGGTCCGTGCTCAGCAGAGAAGTAGGGGCTGGCAGCCAAGAGGAGCACGTGAAGAGAGCAGAGGTTGGATCTGAAACGATCTCCCTTGCACTGTCAGAGAGCAAAGATGCCCCAGGTGGAATTTCCTCCCTTCCACGTCTCTTCCTTAATTTCTGGGAGATGCTTCCCCGGAGGTAAAGGGCCTGCAGCATCGGCGGAGCAGTGCTGCTGCGAGCGGAGGAAACCGGAGCGTGGAGGCAGGGCTGAGCCCTGCAGTCTCCAGCAGCGATGCACGCGTGGCCTGGTGCTGTGGGATCTGCACGGCGAAAGTCGGTGCCCTGAGCAGTTTGTGAAATGCTTCGTGGAGGCATTGGAGTAACATGTTAAATCAAACGTCCCTCCTGGCTGTGGGAGGATGTGATTCCTGGGAATGTCCCAAAGCTGAAATTCCCTCCAGGAATGCTCCTTCTGGACCATAAAAGGAACGAAGCAGCAGCAAATCATAAACCTTTTCAGTGTAAAAGGAAAAAAAGAGAGGGAGTCGGAGTTTTTTAATCCTGTGGTCAATACTTTTTGGCCAGCGCCGGGACTCAACGCAGAGCCATCCTGCAAGTCTCTGCACAAGCTGCAGCCTGTTTCCTGAGCAAGTAACTCTGCAGTTAGGTGCTAGGTCTTTTTCTTGCTCTGAACAGTTGGGCATCTCTTGCCCAGTGCTCCGAAATTCACCCTGGGCAGGATATTGGGCACGTTGCAAAGATGGGAGTGAGGAGCAGAGGGCAGCAGGTTAAAGCTTTGCTGCAGCAGGAGAGTGTGGCGGTGCCTCTGCCATGAGCGTGCAGAGCGCAGGACAGCCCGAGCCCAAAGGACCTGCCTCAAGCCAGGAAAACAGCCCAAGTCCCAGAGCCAGCCCGGAGAAGCGATGCGGCTCGCCCCAGGAAAATGGGTGGCACAACAGCAGAGCTTCGGCCGAAATGCTTTCCCGCTGCCGCAGCCTGTCCCGTGCTGTCCTGGCACACGTGTGTTCTCGGCAGAAGTGCCACCATCGTCCTGCAGAGACCTGGAGGAGCTCAGCCTGACTCGGCTCCCAGTCTGCACGCGGTGAAAAACCAGCACACAAACAAACCAGCATCTTTTTTACCAGCCTTGGCATCCCGGTGGCTGGCGCGGAAGGGGATCCGGCCGCGGTGCTGCCGGCCGCCTTGGAGCAGAGCTGGGGTTTTTAGGGCCAGAACTGGTTGCAAACTTTTTATTTCTCCAATGCTTGGTGTTTTCATTGTTGGTTTCCAGATGACTTCAGCTGCAATGCATTTATAACATAAAAAAATCAAGCCCAAAGTAGCTGTTTCATTTCAAATACTGTGGGAGGAGAGGTGTGGTGCTCTCTTCTCCCCCCTCCAGCCTCAGCACTTGTGTTCCACTCTTTCCTCCTTGAATTGCTCCCCTTACTCTTGACTTTGGGTATTTTCTGTTTGAATTGAGGGAGCAGCCAGGAGTCCCAGGCCTGGACAAAGGGCCCATGTGCAAGCTGACATACAAAGGCATCATAAAGGTCTCAGCCACTGGCATAATTGCTCTGTGAAGTGCTGTTTGTGGCGGTGGTGGTTTTTATGAGACATTTCTTGTGTTGAGAGTCTAATTGTTTAAGTTTAATTGAGCTCCATCTCAGCGCTAAAAAACAAAGAGAATTGCTGTGAGGTTGGCGGCAGCAGGTTTGCATTGAAGATGAGCAAGGGGGGAGTTGGACCAGCTCCGAGGTGGCAAAACAAGGCTCTTGGGCTGGAGGATCGGGACCTGGAGCCCTGCGCGGGCTGCTCTCCCCGGCTGTGCTGGCCGTGTGTCGCACAGACAGCTTTCAGAGGAGGTCAGTGCAGTGGGCGAATACGTATGTAGCTGTGAGTGTGCCTGCGGGCGCGTCTTGCAGTGACTGTCACGTTCCCTTGACAACACTCTAAAATATAATCTGTTCAGTCTGTGACATTTTTTCTCGACGAGCAGTGCTGGAAGGAGGTGGGAGGCAGGTTCTGCCCGGGGAGGCTGGTGGGAGCTTGCTGACTTCAGCACACTCTGTGTCGCTCTGCTGAGCCGCATCTTGCGTCGCTCAGGACTGGTCTACGTTTACAAGTTGCTCCAGTTCAGGGTGCGGGGAGAAACACCTCCCAACTGCAAGCAGCTCAAACACGCCAGCAAGCACCCAGTTTGACCCTGTTACAGCCCCCAAAATAGCCCTTCCCTCAGAACTGGCTTCAGCCATGCTGGCAGGACAGCCCTGTGGCGGGTCCAGCCCCAGGCAGCGCGGGAGGCTCGGAGGAGCGTCCCCACGTCCCCGTGCCACCGCCCTGCCGAGCGCGCGCGGTGGCCGTCCCTCTGAGGGAGCTGACAACCTGGAGCCACTGGAGCTGCGGAAAGACAAACACCAGCGAACCGTGACCGGGGCGGTAGGACTGATGGTTCCCAGAAGAGCCGCCACGCCACTGCCTCTTCTTCCCATGGGCCATGCCCACCTGTCGGGATTACGCTGCCGGGCCCGCAGGCCCCCCTCGCTGGCTTGGACCTGGAGAGAGGTGGGATGTCGGGAATCGGTGGCAGATTGCGGCTGCTCCTGCACCGTCTCAACAAGACCTGGGGATTTCCAGGGTCCCAGAGGGATGGATGCTTCCCAGCTCCAGCCTGTAACCAGCGATGGCTGGATGCACCTGGACTTGCTGCAGCGCAGGACCCACTCTGTCCCCGAGCTCTCCAGTTATCCACCACGGTCCCAGCGTGGATTTCAAAGGGAGCTGATGAAGAAAGCCACCCCTCCTCTCCATCCCTTCTCCAGGCAGCAAAGCTTTTCCCCAGGGCAAGGCACGCAGCTCCTCAGCAAGCTGATGGGATACGGGGGATCGCAGCCCCCCCCGCAGGCATGGCCCACGTGGCAGCCGGTCCCAGCTGGGGAGAGGGACGTTGGGTTTGGATCCCGTTGGTGGGCCGTGGTGGGATGCATTCGCCTTTCCCCAGGAGGACAGATTCCTTCGCACCAAAGCAATGGCATTAGAATAAACGATTGCTGCTTGATCCCAGGCCCTGCGCTGCCTTCATTCTGCACTAACCAAATCCAGCATTTCTAAATATACACTGGAGTCTTATTTTCTCGCTCCGATCTTTATTTGCCTCTGGATAAGCTGAAACAGATGGGGTGTTTCACAACGGCCGCTTGCTGGGGATGTCAGATGGGAAAGGGCACACCCCTGCTGCTTTTCTGGGAAAAATCCCCTTTCCAGAAGCTCCGTGAAGATGATGCCAGCCCTCCGACCCTCCTCCGGCTTTCGCTGGGGCCATCACCTGCCCATGAGCGTTCTCGGGGCTGCCATGGAAGGAGCGAGAGGCCGGCAGGTTCCCAGCTCGGTGGTGCAGGCAGACGGTGGTGGACTCTGGGATCTGGTGGGGGATGATGCCCTTACACATTTGAGAGGCCGGACTGAGAGAAACAGCCTCCTCGAGCAGAGGGAAGAGGCATCTAAGAGGCGAGAGGGGAGAAAACGCCATGGAAATCTCACTGTTTCATGGTGTGATGCTTTCCCTGTGGAGCTTGAGGTGGGGTGGCTTGTTTCAAGGTGCCGCGAGCTCTGTGCCGGAGGTGGTGGTGGGCTCCTGCATCCCAGGCAGCCCCCGTGCCGTGCAGGGAGGGATGCAGAGCTCCTCCGTGGGGTGCAAGAGCACCCTGTTCGCCTCGGGGCTCGGGGTCTGGGTGTTGCTGCAGGGCTGGGGGCAGCCATGGAGGCTGCGCATCCCCCCCGGAGCCTGGGTGCCACATGGTGGGGTGATCAAGGTCCAGAGCGAAGGGCTGCCGTAGGCCAGTCGTAAAGCTAAAGGGGAAAAGTAATCTCCAGGCTTGAGTTTTTAAGAAAACCCCGTCCTGGAGCCAACATAAATTCCAGAGCCAGAAGAGCCTGGCTCGGGTTGATCCCCCAAAACAATGGCCCTGCGATCCAGGGGGGAGCCAGGCTGAGCCCTGCGGACTCATGTCACTGGTGGGCCAAACCGGATCCCAGCTCCAGCTGCGGACCCGGAGCCTGGCGGAGCCGAGTCCATCCTTCCTCCCCTTGCTCGGCAGCGCCGGTGTGGTGTGACCCAGCTGCCTGGAGCCACGTATGGGACCCGTCTGCCGGCCAGCGTCCCTGGGTGTGTTTTGGCTTCGCCTCCCGGACGGCATCAGCCGCGGTTTCCACGGGGCGATGGGAGAGCCGTGCCTCACGCTGGGGACCTCGGTAAGGCTTCCAGGGGAGTTTGTTGGCCGGGGCCGAGGCAGCCTGCATGGTTCTCATTTACTGCGATATATTTTGGGGAAGGGGAGAGCTGTCTAGGGAGCAGAGAGGATTGAAATATGAAAGTTAATTAAATAAAACCATCAGTCAAAGAAAACAAGCCTTCCCACCCCGGCATCCTTCGACTGTTCAGAAGAGATGGGCTGCGGCCAAAACCAGTTGTAGTCATTTAATGATTTGGCCATGAAGATTTTCACTTACAGGCTGTTTGAGGAAAATAAATGGAAAAAAAAAAAAAAAATATTCCATGCCTGGGGCTCCCTCTTAATAGAGACATAAAGATGACTTTGACATTCCCAGAACCGCAGCGCCCCAGGAAGACATGGGATTTGCATGTTATTGTGCAGGGCTGTTGGAGGAGAGCGGGGAGGGATTTTTCTCTGGAGTGGGAAGCCGGAGCAGCAGAGTCCGCATCTCTGAACATCCCCCCCTCATCTCTTCCCGGGGGACGCGCGGAGGGAGAGGTTGTTGCTGGGGCTGTGTGCGGTTACCGTTAATGTTTGCTCATTCATGGGACTGATTGGTTTTTAATTAAGGAGGCCATTTGGCATCCTGGCTCTCAGTATCAATGACAAAAAGGGACTCCTGTGTTCTCCCCCGGAGGTGGCATTGCCTTCCCCGGGCGGGGGACCAGGCGGTTGGTAGATGCACCATCCCAGCAGTTCAGAGAGCTCTGCTGGCATCTCCCCCAGCCGCGAAGCACGACAGAATGGCAGCATGCTGGGGCTCGGGGGATTTTTCCACACCCGTCCTTACCAGTGTTCGTCGCGCTGTTTCGCAAGACCCTTTGCCCCTGCCCCTCGCGCGGAGCCCAGCTCTCCCCGGGCTCCCTTCTCCTCTGGCCGTGCCCCGCCACGTGCCGAGGTGGGGGCCGCGGGGGCTTGTGGATCACTTAAATTTGGGTGGAAACGAGCGGTTGCTGTCTGAGCCCTCCACATCCCCAGCTCTCAGTGGGAGCTCCTCGTTGCAGGGAGGTTTGGGAGCAGCCTGTTGGGGGGAGCCGGACAAAGGCAAATTCGCGGCTTTATCAGCACATTCAGGAAAAATCACAGCTGGAAAAGAAATCCAGCCAGCTGCCTCCCCGCCGCGTCGGAACCGTGAGCTCCGCGTCCTAGGGGCACATTTCAAAAACAGGGCCTGGGTTTGCACCTCTCTGCAAGCACCGTTTGTCTGCGTATCCTCCCCGGCCAGCATGGATGCATCGATGCAGCCATGCCCCACGCTCGGAGGTGCCCACGGAGAGCAGCACCCGCGCCCGTAGGGTGCCATGTGCCACGTGCGAGCTCACCCAGCCCTGCTCCGACTCGGGGCAAGTTTGGGGCTTGGGACCCAAGCAACACCCGTCAGACCTAGCAGAGCTCGGTAGGTTGGTCCGGGAGTCGTGCTGACGTGGTTGCGCAGCAGGCAGGCAGAGCAGCTCAGATTGCAGGCAGAGCAGCCCCGTGTCCCCTCCAGCACTTGGCACGGTGGCACGGTGGCATGGTGGCAGGCAGAGACCAGCCCCGCAGGTAGGGCCAAGCGCGGCAGTCGGGAGGCACGGAGATGCTGCAGCCGCCTTTGCTTGTGCTGAACATGCAGAAATGGAGTTGGGAAGGCCGGTCCGCTATGCTAAACCTCAAAGTCGCTAATAAAACGGTAATTAAAAGCACTTGGAAAGAGCAGCCCCGCCAGAAGGAGAGGCAGAGACACAAGAGCCTTTCATTGTTTAACGGGTTGTGCCCATTCATCGGTGGAAGGCAGCCATGGAGGCTCTTGGCGTCCGTCCCCTCTGCCCAGCGTGCAGGGTTGTTTGTTCTCCTGGTTATGAAACGTGGCAGAAGGGCCACGCCGACGCGATGCGCCGAAAACCCCGGGTCCGGGCCTGGCCCCGCGATGGGGGCGCGGACCCAGGAGCAGGAGCCTCCTCTCTCCCGTTTGCCAGCACCACGTGGAGGTGGCTGCAGCACCGGGGGCTCCTGCCCTGCTCCTCGCCCGGCCCCCCCCCCCAGCCCGGCTGCCGCCTCGCCGGTGGCACAGCAGTGGGCAGAGCCACCCCCCTGCTGCGCCGTGTCCGGGGGGGAGATGACATCTCCGGGGGAAGCCTCCCAACTAGTTTTCAGCCCCGATTCGCTTCTCCGGGGGTGGGGGGGAGCGGGGGCGGACCCGAGACCCATGTGAAGAGCGAGGACTCCACCAAGGTCCGTACTGGCGTGTGCCGCTCTGCTAATCATCTTCTATTGTTTGCAGCTCAATTACACCCGACCGGGGCTTCCAAAGCTCAATCCGAGGCTGCTAGAAAACTGGAAGAACGAAGTGAAGGAGAAGGGCCACATCAACTGTCCCAACAACGTAAGGACCATCTCTGTTCTTCTCCAGGCCGGCTGGTCTCAGTCTGCAGGAGGAAGGGGGCAGTTTTTGGGGCAGAAACCCACCAAAGCCAGGGTCTTGTTGGGCCCCAGACGAAGCTAGCAGTGATGCTCAGACCCTCGTTCCACCCCTTCTCCCTGGGGTTGCTGCCATGCCTGGTTGAAGCGTGTCCCGCCTTTGGGACCCTCCTGGTGCGCTCGAGCCACCGGGCTTGGGGACCAGGCCGCCCTCTCCCCAGGTGCCCTTGGGCTGGCAGTTCAGCATCGCCTGACTGGGGCTCTGGAGCTGCCTTTGGGGAGCTCCTGAGATCCAGACGGGGCGAAGGTTGCACGCTCCGTGCTCGAGAGCCTTTTTATGCAGAGAACCTGCTTTTCCCAGAGTAAAGCCGGGGCTGGTTTGAAGCCATTCTTTTTAAAGCCCCGTGACAGGCAAAGACCTCGGGGACATGGTGCGTGTCCGTGCAGCCTTGGCCTGAGCTGGCGGGGAGGTGAACCCCACCCCCTGTGCTGGGCCGTTGATTTATCATCTGAAACAAAGCCTCGCTAATGGGAGTTTTGAATGAGGCCGTTAACCACAAGGCCGGGGGAGACGCGCTGGCTAATTAATGTCATACACAGGCACTTCGGAAAGAGGTTGCGCAGAAACTGGTCATCCTGCTGCCCAGGTGATTTCTCTTCTCCGTTAAGCGTCTGCTGTGGCTCCAAGAACTCCTGTAGCCCAGCAGGACCTCCCGACTGCTCACAAATGTACGCTTTCCACCGAGACATTTGGGGGAGACGTTTTTCAGCCCGTTGCAGAGGGATGTGGCCACATGACTCCCATTAGCACTAATAGGAAACGCGTGACCAGAGCCCTCCACGTCTCGCAGAGCATTAACCTCACGCTGCTTAGCCCGGACCCGTGGCCTTGCTGGCGCAGCGGGCTCCCGGCCCCGGCACGGAGGAAGGCACGGAGACAAGGGGGGATCGTGGCAAACCCTGCTTTGTTTCTTCCTGCAGTGCTGTGAAGCCATTTACTCCAGCGTCTCGGGGTTGAAAGCTCACCTGGCCAACTGCAACAAGGTAGGTCCCTCCTTCCACAGCCTCAGCTCGAGATGGGGTTAGGTTTTGGTTTTCTCTCCCCCCAGGACTGTTGGGAAGCAACAGGCCAAGGGACAAGGCACGGGTTGAAGGATCGTGACCGCTGGGAGGGCTGGCCGAGCCATGCCACTGCCCGTTGAATTGTCACTGCTCAGCCTGTTGTCACACCATCCCGGTCCAGCCACTCGCCCTCAGCACCGTCCTCCTGGGCAGGATCAAACCCACAGCCACGGGCAGCTGAAGGTAGAGAGGCTCGAGCTGAGCAGATGTGATGGAGGGGATTTAGCCACCGCCCCAGCCTTGGAGGAGAGGTCTTGCAATGCAAATGTCTCATCTAAGGGCCCAGACCTCCGACGCACCAAGTGCCTCGGAGATGGGGGCAGCAGGAGCGAGCCCGCCTGCCTCGCGTCCTCCCGCCTCAGCGTCCCCGTCCCGCAGCAGCCCCTGCCCAGCGTGGCTTCTGCAACCCCCGAGTTGTTTGCGAGCCTTTGGCTACCCAGCGTGGCCAGCACCTCGCACACAGCCGCGCATCGACCGCAGCAGCTCAGAGCCAGGGAGCTGGGCGTTGGAAGCTGAACGTTTTCTGAGGCAGGTGGGAATCGGGGGTCTTTCTCCATTGATTTGGGCAGCCCTGCAGCCCCTCTGGAAGCCCAGCAGTTTCCCCAGCTGGAGAAACGCTGGTGCGGTGCCTCCTGGGGATGGAGCTGAGGCTGGAAGAGGCGGCCGGTCTGTGCAGAGACCGGTGCCGTCTCGCTCGATAGAGCAGCAACGCTGCCGGCTGCAGTGAGCTCCGGTGGCCTGCCGCCGCCACGGGGGAGGGATCGGGAGCTCAGCGTAGGTCCCTCAAATTGGAACCGAGTAAGGGCTGGTAAAGCTTTATACCCTGAAACATTTCCAGCTGCAGCTTCCATTGAATGGAGCTTCCAGGAGGCAGTTCCAATACATACCCCGTGGTTATTAAAAACACAAACTCTCGCGCTCCTCCAACACTAGCTGGAACATCAAACCCTAATGAGATCATTTAGAAAATGGGCTGCAGAGATCCGGCAGAAGAAGCTGTGTTTATGCAGGATAAAAGTGCAAACACAGGAGACCAGGGCAGTTCCTCCGCTAGCCTGCAGCACCGGGCAGCCCACCAGCAAACGGTCTCCGAGAGAAAATGGAGCCATTTTCCAGCTGGTTCTGTGCAGAGGGAGCAGCCGGGCGTTTGCACGAGCATTTTCTTTAACCGCAGAGCTGCACCCTCCAGGTCCGGCGAGTCCGGTGTGGCGGGGGCTGAGTGTTGGGGGTCAGCGCTGGGGGAGTTTGCTGCTTCGTGTCCCCCGCCATCAGCAGGACTCTCGCCCTTACAGAGGATTTAGTTTTGCAATAGGATACACGCGCCACCAAATCTGGCATAAATCACAGCCCCTCCTGGGCTGGCCTGTGATTTCTGCTGTAAAACCCTGCAGAATTGGTTGAAATACATCAAGCCTTACTGAGAGCGGAGGATGCTCCCAGGCAGCACCCCATCCTCAGCGGGGATTGATGCGCCGAGGTGATTTTTGCATGAGTATTTCTGAAGCCAGCCTGCAGCGGGGCCAGGCCTGCCCGCGTCCTGCCTGTCCCTGAAATGAAAGACCTGTCTAAATCCAGATTTACAGCACGGAGCCAGCTATGGAGAAATTCCCAGGGAGCGTATATATCGCCTGGAGGGGCCCATCCATAAACCCCTCGTCAATAGAGAGCACATTATCTCCCCTGTGCCCTGAACTGCGGCAGAGCCGGGAGATCAGTCATCCCCACAAGGGCTGTAATGACAGAAATCCAGCAGCCGCTGCGTCTCTTTGACAGCGTAAAAGGAAAATTAGGTGAGTCTGTTGGACGTAAATTAGATGGCGGTTCAGTCCCAGGAGATCACAAATCTGCTGTCGGTGAGGAAATGGGGCGATCGGCCCCGTCAGCCCCCCGCGCGCCCGGGGACACACACGCTGTCGGTGGCAACGTAGCAACCGGCGTTGAGGATGCGCAGGCAGCAAAACCCCGCCGCTCGCTGCCCTCCAAGCTGGTAGGACCCAGTGCTTCGGTGCCTGGTGCTGGTGTCGTGGTGGCCGGGCACCGCCAACGTTGCTGCGGCACAACCGGCACGGGCTGAAATTCAGAGGAGGAGATGCGGTTGTGAGCTCCTGGCCTGGGACCGGGGGCCGGCAGAGATCTGGTGGTTTAGACATGAGCGTTTATTTTCTGTTGCTTCGAGGTTCAGGCATCAACCTCCCTTCACAGCGGGGGGAGCAGGGCGGGGGGAGCCACCCCTCCAGGGCGTTTTCGGCTCTGCTTGGAGCTGCAGGAGGATGCTCTGTCTTGCAGGGGGACCACTCGGTGGGCAAGTACCGCTGCCTCCTGTGCCAGAAGGAATTCAGCTCCGAGAGCGGGGTCAAGTACCACATCATCAAGGCTCACTCAGAGGTAAGGAAACGGCTGGGGCTGGTCGGGGCCGGTCCCTGCTCCAACGTACCCATCCTCGGGGCTGCCCCGCTCCACCCGTCCGTGTCTGCCAAGAGCGGAGCACAGCAGCTCCCAGCAGCGTCAGCAATGCTGTGACAGTCGGGGGGGACACCTCCCTGTCCCTCTTTGGGTCCCCCAGGCCCTTTGCAGCTGCCCAGCGCTGGCCAGCTTGTCCTCGGGGAGGTGATGCCAGCGGGGCGTGGGGCGGTCCAGGCTTCGTCAGGCGAGGCGTGGGTTGTGCGTGCCGGTGCCGGTGCCCGGCCCCAGGATGGTCACTAACCCCTGTGTCACCCCGCGGACACAGAACTGGTTCCGAACCTCTGCAGAGGCCAGCCGGAAAAAGAAAAGCAGGGAACAGCTTTCTTCCAGCAAGGAGGAGAAAAAGAAAAGCACAAGCGGGAAGAAAAGGGGGAGAAAACCCAAGGAAAGGCCTCCAGAAACATCCCCGAAGGGCAGAGAGAGCGTGGCAGCAAAGACTAATCACAAGAAAACCCTCGAGCACTGGGAAGGCTCCCGAGGCAGCCCCGACGGGGATGAGCGCGTCCCCAAGCCCCCGAGCCAGCGGAAGGGGGGAGCCAGTAAGATGCCCGAGAAATGAGCAGCTCAGAGACTCGTCTCCGAGGATTCGTTTACAGCCCAGGGTAACAGGGTGGGGGTTTCTCCTGGTTTTTGTCCCGTCC